GGGGGGCGAGGCGGGGGAAAGGAAAGGCCAGGCAGAAGCGGGACCGAATTACACGAGACGAAGGCGCCGCGCGTTAACGGCGCGCGCGGCTCCTATATACGCGCTTTGGGCCGCCCGCCTCGTAATTACCCGCGGCGAGTGGCCTCCGAATTTTAATCGCGCGTTTCGAAATTTCGCGCGCCCCCACCGCGCCCGGGACTCGCCGCACGTTCCGGCGGGCTCGCGGATCCACGTGAGATCCGCGGCGTTTCTTACGGCGCGCCCCGCCGCGACGGCCTTCCGGCTACACGTGACACGGGCGGATAACGAGCGAGGCCTCTGCGGGAAAGCGTTTATCCTCGTTACATAATACGCGATCGACGTCCCTCTCCTTCCCCTTTTTTCCCCCTCCCCCCCCCCTTCCCCGAGCGCGAGCTCCGGATTTATTCATCCTGTCGCGCCGATTGTCACGATTCTCGCGCGGCGCATAATCGCGCACGTACGCGGCGTTCTATCGCGATTACAAAATGCATGCGCATTTTAAAAGCCCTTACCTCAAAAGATAAAGGCCCGAGAAACGTGGCGTTTGAGCAACTTTAATCGACGAACGGCAATAAAAGTGAGCCGCAATTTGATTTAGGTGGCTAACATAAAATTGCCCCGGCCTTCCAGCGCGCCCGCTCGATTCTTCGGGGTCCCGCGCTGGCGGTGTGAAAGTCGCTTAAGAAATAACGCGGTGCGTGATGCAACTGTTAGCACATAGCGCGCAAACGCTCGCGCAATTCGCGCGAGTCGGTTCGCCTTGTGTTGTTGCCGTCCCGTCCCGTCCCGTCCCGTCCCGTCCGCCACGTGACTGCAACACGTGCAGGCTGTTATGTTAGACCATTCACCTTCGTTGCATAATACGAGCGGGAAAAGGTCACCGCGGCGAACAACGGAGTCTGATGTTTGCTAATATGATCGATAAACCGGCCGCTTCTGAAACGGCGGATCGCACGCGGAATTCGGCCGCTCGAATCCCGCGCGGGGCGAAGCCTCGAATTGGCGCGGTCGTGACGCAAGATCCCCGCGCTCCGCGGCAACGCTCGCGGGGGAGGCGCGGATCTTCGCGGAGCTTAACGCAAGCTGGTAACGGACGCGCCCCTCCCCCCCAACCCCTCCCGCGAGATTCGAGGAACGACCTGCCGGTCGCGAGGGATACGATCTTAAAATTCCGCCGTCGCGGTTGTCGCGTCGATACGTCGTTTAAGTAAGAAATAGAGCGGCGCAAACAGATACGAGGCGTGCATTGCTCGCCCACCGTGTGTCTCTCTCTCTCTCTCTCTCTATCCCTCTCTTTGATTCTCTTTCCTTCTCTCTCCTTCCTTCCCTCCCTCCTTCTCTCTTTACACCGTGGTGTGATCGATGAACGGCCGATGACGCAACGTATAATCCACACAATGTCCGAGACGCGACGACACGTAAGTGCAGTGACGGACGCGAAATGGTTGCGACACTCTTTCTCTGTAATGAGTTTAGGAACATGCATTTAGATCGAGGGTCACGCTCGAAAGCCTTCCTCCCCCGAGGAAGACTTTTTACTCGACGGCCGCGTCCCGAAACCATTTTCAGCGCTTCCGATCTGTTTCCCCGAGCGAGGCTTTCCTCGGGGACGGTGTTTTCGAGCGGAAACCCCGCGGGTCGACTCCGTGTCTTACGCCGGGGCGAAAATGCGAAAACCGTCCCCTTAGAGACAGAGACGAAGCCGCTCGCTTTTACGCCCAATCTACAATATGTGCGTCGGGAAACGTTCTACTTTGTAGTCAACAAACACGTTTAAAAAAAAAAACTTGCGCAAGTCGATCGAACGCACGCGGTGCATTGTCGTACAATCGTACACTGTCGACAAATTTTTCGTGCGTTCCGCACTTGTCCGCACACAAAATTGAACGTTTCCAGACGCAGAAAGCACAACTGTATGTCGGGCCTCAACATTTTCACTACGTCGCGAGACACAGTGCTGACCCCCTGCATCTAAATGCGCGTTCCTAGACTCGTTAAAAAAAAAAACGTGTCGCGACCATTCTGTCCGTCACTGTACGTGCCTACAAGATATCGCCGGTGTATCCGGTCGCGCGCGCGCGCGCACACGCGCACGGGAGGAGAACCGTAACCAGCGGTAGCTGCACTCGCGCGACCGCGTTGCGGCGTAACAACACCTGCGACTGTGCGCGCGCGCGCGCGCGCGTTTCCGCGGCAACGCGGAGATACCGCTAATCCGCGCTCCGCGGGCGCGGGCGCGGGCGCTGACACCCCGCCAGACAATGTCCGTATCGATCGGCAGATAACTCGATCTCCCTCGACGGGAGAACCGTCGCCGCGCGATTTTCTCCCCGTTTTGTCGAGTAAAACGCACCGTCATCACCTCAGACTCGGCGCGACGCACCCGGTCCCGTTACTCCGGCGCGCGATACGTTATCGGCACAGCTGTAAAACTTTATTTATCATCCGTTTGCCTGTCTATAATATGCCGGAACATCCGGCGGTTGTGCGGCGATCGCGGCTCCTCCACCCCCGCCCCCCGCCTTCTCTCTCCCTCGCGGATTTCCCGCGCGGATCCGCGCGGGAAATCTTGGCCGCCGACGACTCGGTCCCGCGCGCGCGCACGTGCGTACGTACCGTGCCCTTCGGCCGGGAGTCCGTGAGGTTTATCGCACGGACGGTTTTACGCTACGAGGTTGAGAGAGCCCCGTAAATTGGGCCGTGGCCCACTTTGATAGAGAGCCGTAGCGGCACGCGGCGCCCGGTGGGAGGAGAGATCGATGGGGTGGGGGAGTCGGCGTAAATGAGAGAGGGGGGAGGTTCCCGTTTCGCGCGAGAGGATCTCGCGATCGATGGATCGCTCTCTGCTCCCCGTAGCCGCCGCGGGCCACGTGGAGGGACCTCTTTAACGAGATCGCTTCGTCGCGCACACGGCGGCCGAGAACCGAGGGAGAGAGGGGGGGAGGGGGGGAGAAACGTTATCGCCGTATCGCGACTCCGTAATGTGTCTCAATTAATCAAATTCGCTGGGATCGGCTAATTTTAAATTATAATCGGCCGTTAATGAGGGAGAGAGAGAGAGAGAGAGGGAGGGGGGGAGGGGGACGGAGACAGCTTACGTGCGACAAGAATATCGATTCTTCTCACGTAACCGCGCGAGCGGCGATGGCGGCGGCGGTGGCGGCGGCGGCGGCGGAGTCGAAAGGATAAAAATAAAATCCGACCTTGATCCTTGATCGCGATGCATTTCGCAAACGCACTCGCGCGTTCGCTCCGTCGCCTTCGGTTTCGCGCGCGGAATCCGAGCGAAAAAAAAGAGAGAGAGAGAGATAGATCCGTGGGAGATTTCGGGTGCAGCTTTGTTTCCCCCCTTTGGCTTCCGACCGCGAGCCCTCGCGCGAAGCAGGGGGGGGGAGAGGGAGGCGGCGTGACGCAACGACGCGCGCGCGTCGCACGCGCTTTCGCGAGTAAGCGCGAGGATCGCAAGACGCTCTTTATCCTCGTAGCCGCGTGACGTCAGCGTGTATTAATTGCATTTCTCGAAACCCCCGGGGCTGCATTTTATCTACACCTGCGTTATTCGAGAGCCGCGTGATTCAGCCGCGAGTATTGCGACGATAAGATACGCATTGTCCGCCCGCAGCGGCCGGACAATGGATGCACCCGGGACCGATCACGTTCTTGAATATCATCGCGCGCGAGCGAGCGCGATGTTGCGTCATTCGTGCGCCAATCGTCCGGCGATTTCGCGAAATCGCCTCGCGTGCTCGCGAAGCGCGACAGAGTAGAAACGATCCGTTCTTCGACTCGTTCGCGGGAGGAAGACGCGTACGCGAATTCCGCCCTCGCAGAACATTCGAGTTTGCCGAGGGTCGTGCGTGGAACCAATCGACTCGCGACTTTCTTTTGTGCCCGTTTACAATAGAGATTTAAAGCCCGAAGCCTTAAGAAACTGGCTGATCGCAGTCGCGCACTAACACTTGACCGTGGTTGGTCAATTTCTTGAGGCCCGGGGCTTGAACCGTCGTAGACGACCCGGGAAGGGCCCGAGCAAAAAGACGGTCCGCTCGCGACTCCGTCGTGAGACGTAAGCCGGTGTCACGAGTCAACGCGCAGAGAATCGTACGTCGCCTCGCGACGCAACGGATGCGACATACGTCCACGGCAATTGTTTGACTTCCGACTGGAGTCTTCGGGCCTGAGCAGAATGACTGTCTTGCACTCTTAACCCTTTGCACTCCCGAGTGCGACTCGACATCAGTTTTTATCCCAGGAGCTTCTCTGTCGAGTCCCACTCGACATTTTTTCACGTCCAAACCAATAGATAAAAATAGATGAAATATAATTCGGAGTGCAAAGGGTTAAGGCAATGTTTTGCGACTTCGTCTTAAAGCAACGCGCAAAACTGTCCTGTGACTTAAGAATACGAGACAGCCGTTCTCGCTCAGGCCCTTACGACGGAACCGTAAACGGTTACGACAGTCTTTCCGCTCCAGCGCGGGACTTCGGCGCTCGAGAGGAGGAGGAGGAGCAGAGCCAGCAGCCGACCACGTCGGCGAGTCCCGGCGAGAGCGCGCGAGGATCTGTCAAAACGGCGCGGGGCTCGGCCGCGCCGCGAGCACGTGCTCCGAGACGTTTCCGTCGCGCCGCGACTCGAGGGGATCGATCGGACGGCGGGAATCTCGGGATTCTCGCCCCTCGAAAGCGTCGTTCCTCTCGGCGGAGCGGGTCGAGAAAAAGAGAGAGAGAGAGAAACTCGCCGTCGTCCGAGACGGACGCGAGAATCGAGCTCGATTCTCGCGTTCGCTCGGGGAGAAAAACGCGCGCGCGGACTCCGCTCTCGCGGCTCTCGACCTTTTCCGCGTACGTTTCTCCCTCGTGCGAATCGGAGAATCTCGCCCCCCACCCCCGGGCGCGTGACTGGCACTCGCGCGCGTCTCGCGACGTGTCTCGCGAGACGCGCGCGCGCCAAGAGAGAAGAGGACCCCGCGTGTACTCACCAATATCGAAAGGTCCCGTCGATCCGCAGCGCGCGACGGAACGGCGATCCACTTTGCCGTCGATCCCTCGTCGATCCCGGCGACCCTCGGGAAGGCGTGCGCGTACTGGTTCCACCAGGCGTAACTATCGCGGTGCGATCGTCGAAACGGGAACGGCACGCGGCGCTCCGTTCATCGAACCTCCGGCGCGGCGGCTGTCACAGCGACATAACAGTCGTCCCCGTAACACGAATCTCGCGCGGGGCGGGGAGAACTTTACCTCGGCGTGGCGTAGCGTGTATACTCCACCGGCGCGCGGCCACTCGCCGAGGCGAAAACTCCAAAAAAAAGAAAAAAACCTCCCGCGGTACAGTACGTGCCGTACGCGAGGGACACTCGCGGGACGAGGCACTTTCCGAGGAGAGAAACGGATCGACCGGGCCACCGCGGGGACGCCGGTGCCCTCTTTCCTGCCTCTTCCTTCCTTCCTTCCTTCCTCCCTCTCGGGCGGAGTGAACTTGAACTCCGCGCGCGATCACGACACGTCGTGCGCGCGTTGCGTCGCGTTACGTTGCGTTGCACTGCGCGAGCTCGGCTGCGAGACCGCGGGCGCGCGTTTACGTACGCGGCGCGTGTAACGCGGAGTACACGTACGTATTCTATACGGCGATGGTACGTGCGATGCAGGGCACCGCTGCGCGAGTGCGAGAGCGAGAGAGATCCGTAGACGCGCACGTCCGCTCGCTACGAAGCCGGGCTGACGACTGACTCGGCGCGCACCGCGTGAGACTCAGACGGCGACTGCCGTACCGTCGTCTTGGCCCCAATGTCGTCTGGCTTCGACGTCGGGAAGGCTGACTGGACGGGGTTGCCGCGCGCGCGCCTGTGTTGGTGAACGTAGGTCGCGCGGCGACGGGGGAGCGGGCGAGTTTACTCCTAGTTTATACTCGGTTTATGTGTGGCGGTCCCCCATCCCCACCTCGCGCGCTCGCCGGCCTCCCCCACCACCGCCGCCGCGCTCCCAGCGCGCTTCTGCGTCAGACCGTCCGGTCCCCCACCCGCCGCCGCCGCCGCCGCCGCCGCCGCCGCCGCGCGACACCCCCTCCCGCTTCCCGCCGCCGCCCCTCCCCCCGCCGCCGGAATGCACATTGCACCCGCGTCGTCGCTCCGAGCGGACGAGCGCGCGCGGCGCGATTAGATTGCGTCGTGTGCGCGATCGCGACGCAAGTGCCCGCGTCGCGGCGGCGACGGACTCCGCTCGCGGGACGCTGGCCTCGCGCCGGAATTCCCGGGGGAATTCCGGGAGATCGCCGGGAAACCGGGAAGCGGCCGTCGATGAACGCGAGCCGAGTAATCGGACGTCGGGGCGCTCTTTGAGAGAGCGGAGCTGGGCGCCCGACTCCGCGACTCGCCGTCGACTCTTTGCGCTCGGGATCGCCTTTAGATTATGCTCCGTGGCTAATTAAATGCTCCGCGCGTACTCTAGATGAATTCAAGACGCGGACAGACCTGACCGCCGGGCCCTAATCTCGCCTCGACGCTTGAACTCGTGGCGCACTCGGCGGCTTGCACTGGGCGCACCGAGTGCGCACTATTGTAGGCCTTGCTTTCCAGTCGATTCTTATATTTGAAGATCATCTGATATAGCTCATGTAATATTTCTTATCCAGAAAAATGGTCCGCACAGCGTTTGGACAGATCATTTTTTTTGACTGAATACTCTTTGAACGCGTATTTAAGATAAGACAAAATTAAATGTAAGAACTGACCGTAAACATGCCTTAGTTACATGCACTCGCATGTAAACCTATCCAAGTGGGGACACGCCGATTTCGATGAGCGCTGAATATGTTGTTCCTCGGCTCAAAATAAGGGACACGTATTTTTTGTATACGTGCCCACACGCACTTTTGGGTGGTGAAATACCCCTTTGACGAAAATTGGATTTTCTCTCTCGGGGCGAAACTTGACGAAAGTGTAAGAGCTAGAAAACAATTTTTTTTACGAAAGTTGAATGGTTTCAATAGTACTTTAAAGTACTAACCGTTCAACTTTCATTTAAAAAAATTGCAACAGCATATTCCTGAGACCAAATCAAGTGACAAAGTCCTGTACTACTTTTTCCTCCGACAAACAGTTATCGAGATATCGTGAGTTAAACATTGAAAAAGTTACAAATTTTCTCTTGGATATCTCGAAAAGTATTAGGCAAATCAAAAAACGTTTCAAACGAAAGTCTTTCATATTAATTAGTAGAACAAGATAGTATAATAAACAATAGGGGATTTCATTTAAAAAATTGAAGGTGATCTTCACGTAACCTTCAAATGACTATCCAAGGTCAAGTCAATGGCACCACCTTACGTCCCCCTTCGAGCCAAAGAACTCTTGTTCGAAACGTTTTTCCGTATCTTTCATATTTTTGGAGATATTCGCGTGGATCATTTAAAATGAAACGCCCTGTAGATGGAACAGCTAATTGCGATTTTTAGTTACGCGGGGTAAAATTCGTGAGAGATTAGAGTTACGAACGATTCGAACAATTCGACTGCTAATTGTGGGCCCCAAAATGGGTTGCTGACTGTCTCTTCTTTTCCCAGAGCGCGTAACGTGGAGAAATTAGAAGATGAGTCTCTACTGGAGCGGTAAACGTGTAGCTACGAAAGTATCGATCTTGACATTTTTATCTCGACCGAATGCCGATTGTTGAAAATACTCGCAAACCTTGGAATGTCGTAAAAATATTATTGAGAGAGCAACCTGCAGAAACGCGGGGCTTTTCCGCACAAACTTGCTAAATGTCGGTTACGACAGTTGACCACCGCAGGTGCACATAAATAATCTCGGACTCCGTCTTTCCGGTGGAAAAAAAATAGACGTCGAATGGATAAAAATATCGACGTACGCGACGTGAGATACTAAAGTCCTTATCCTCGTGCCCGGATTCCGTTCTCTCTTTGTGCGTCCGCGCGAGCGGACGTAATCGCTGAGAGTCAGTGACTGCTATCGATCCCTCGATTCGGTCTGCATTCCACGAATTTTAATCGCTACCCTCGGGGTGCGCCACCCCGTGTCGCGGGGCGGGAGGGACATTAAGATCGATCCGTGCGCCGAAAGTACACGGGCCGGGCTCGAAGACGCGACGGAACGTCAGAAAATTAAGACTCTTGAAATGGTCGCGCGCGCGCGCGAGTTATCTCCGCCTCGAGTCTCGGCCACGCGACGTCCGCTCTCGCGTCCACTCGACACGACATCGCGCGTTATCTCGGCGAGAATTCGAGCGGCAATTTTATAACCGCATACAGCAAACGGAGACGGACAGATCCGTATAAAATATTCCAGGCGCAACGCACGCCCCGTCCTCTTCATTTCCTCGCTGCGAGCGCGTGGGCGAGCGGGCGCGATTTCGTGGTCGCGCGGAAAAAAAAAGATGATTTACGCGCCGATCGCAGGCCCGGGGTCGGCCGGGCCCGTAACGAGATACGCATCGGAGCGAGAGATGCTACTCGGAATCGCGTCGGCCGCGATCCAGCCAAAACAAAGAGCCCGGACCGCTCTCGGGCTGGAGCTCGGTTCGGCCGGTCGGTCGGCAAGGACCCTCCTCCTCCTCCTTTTCCTCCTCGTCCTCCTCCGCCGCCGCCGCAGCCGTCGCCGCCGCCGCCGCCGCCGCCGCTTCTGCTCTTCTCTCCTCTTCCTCCTCCTCCTCCTCCTCCATCGCCACCGTCCTCCGTAAACCGAATGCCAGACAACGAGGGCATCAGCCCCCGTGAATCACCGTCGGTCACCTTCACTTTTTATGCAACTTGGTGAACCCGTCCTCGTCCGCGCCGCCTCCTCTTCCTCCTCCGACGCCCCGCCCCGCCCCGCCGCCGCGCGTTATTATGAGTGTCCACAATGCAATCGGTATCGGTTATTTTGTTATCGGGCGCGTTATCGGCGCGTATGTGCAGAGGGGGATAAGGATGTTGTCGCGTTATCGAGACGCACTCCCGATCAAACGCGCATGCGATTATTGCGCCTTGTTACGGCCGCGGAAAAACAATGCCGGGAATCTCCGCTCCGCAATCAAGTTTTATATAAGTACGTATTTGTCTAAACTGTAATTACGCGGTTATACAATATGTGGAGCGATGTTGCGGAGCGATATCGCAATTGCGCCGGCCGATGCCGTAACCCGCGCGCGCCCGCCCGCCCGAGCGGCGGGAAGCGGAGGGGAAAAAGTGTTGGCAGAGAGGACGGGCGGAAAATTCGCGCGGACGCAAGGCGCGACGATTTGCATAGATTGCACATGCATATAACGACATCACGTGTCCGCCCGGCGAATTCGGCGTTTCAAGGACGCGCGTTGCGTCGCCGTCTCGCAACCGGAGCGAAACCCGCGCGCGTATGTTCGCGCGCGTGCACGCGTCCACGCGCGGCGCCGGGCCACGTGTGCTGTTTACGCCGACGAGCCGAGGAATCACGAGCTATCGAGCGATGGAAAACAACGAGGGACGAGAGAGGAACTTCCTCGATGGAAAGCGAAAGGGAGATCGCGCCGCGCGGAAAAACAAGTCCGAGGAAAGAGGAAGTCTGGCGTTAACGCGTGCGTGTTATCTGATGTTTCCTCCGCTCGATAATATTTTGTTTTGATCGTCGCGAGCGAGGCTTGGATCTCGTTTCGATTTATTTGCGCATTACACGTCTTCATTTTGCGTGCACGGAGAGAATTTTCTCTTCAAGTTCGTCCTGAAAATCACGTCATCGTGGGACAACGTGGTATTTCCAAGAGTCTTAGGAGAGTTTTTGTTTTACCACACGTTTACTAGTAATTGTAGTAGAGAAAAATGCCCTATTATGAGACAGCGTGGTTTCCGCCAAATTAACAGACAACGTTTGTCGGTTGGAAAATGCATTGTTGGATCGTGTAATCGTCGCGAAGAAATCGAGTTGCGATTGAACTTGAACGTTGAAAACCTGCCATCTTATATTTAGAAGCCTATCTCATGATAGAGGACTTTTCTCTATACATTTTACTAGTAAAATTTCAAACAAGCTCTCATAGAGTCATTCAAAGAGCCACGTTGTCCCACGATCGCATGACTTTCAGGACAAATCTTAAGAGGAAACGTTCTCCGTGTGTCAGAGTCGAGTTGCAGTCGGGATGAGAAATTGCAAACGTAATTGAAACTGGAAGTCATTTAAAGTCGCGGGGCCTAACAACGCGGGTAAACAAATGATAATACTTGACGTTTCTTTAACACTCGCGCAAAGTCGTTCAAACGGAATACGCGAGGCGATGCCCGATCGAACGTAATCGCGGTTGCGTCAATTTTCGTCGCGCCGCGTTTACGATTACTTCTCGCCGCACGCGATACTCCCCGTTTCGTCATTACTTCGCCGTTTAACGTCGTTGTGTAATACGTTACCCGCGGAGGAGGGGGGGGGGGCAAAATATCCGAGCGCCGCCGTCCCGTACGCAACTATCGCGGACCATGCGCAGTGACTATTTCTAAACGCAACGGAGGGATACTAGTCGCCGTTGCAGAGCGACTTATCGCGATGCGTCACGTTCGCGACCTGCAACTCGCGGCGGACACGTGTACCCGCGCGGTATGCGTCATTGAAAAGTACGGGAAAAGAGCGTATACATAGGCCGCGTGTGCCTCACTCACATGTGCAAATCGGACGGGACCGCGATAGCTCCTTATTACTACGAGCGCTGAAAAAAAGAGCCCGCGCCGAAGTAAAACGCGAGCGGCGATGCATCGAAACGCGAATGGCGAGACTCGCCCGGGCGGCAGACGTCGTTAATTATTCGGAATTGTGTGTTAATTGTATGTACACGTGCGATTAAAATATATTAACAATTTTCCGCTTAAATTAAACGCTTTCCTCGGAGGTACTCGTCGACGCGGCGCGGCCCGCGCGCTTTCTCGAAAATTTGTGAAATTGGTCGTGAAACGCCCCGCGG